TTTAGATGATAAATCCGCGGTGAGTCCGAATCTGAAGTATGTCTGCGACAGCGCGAACCCCTCAGGACCCTATCCGCAGGGGCTGGGTTCGAACACTGTTGCAGAGTAGATTCCTCCATGCCATGGAAGAAAAGGGTCCTGAGGGAAACGGGCTCTGGACCAACGGGCATTGCCCAGGATCGGCTTCTCATCCTGCGTCGCTCTTGGAAGTCCCAGGGGGCAAGAAGGGCTCCCAGAGACCGGACAATGAAACAACTCGGTCAAGACCGCTTCCTCTCAGGAACTCTTTCCCTCCTCATCATGATGATACCACTCATCCGAACGCCGGTGGGCCGATACCTTCGGGCATGCTGCACAGGGGAAGCCAACCCCGACGGCAACTGCCACAGGATGGTAGCAGCGGCGCCCCTGGAAACTCCGCCATGTGCGCAGATGCGTTCCACTCCACGCTCTTGTCATGCACTAGCTGGCTGGTCTGCGGTTGATCGGAGTAGATGAAGAACGCTTGATGTACCTCCCCTGGGGCCGATATTGCGAGGATGCTCCGGGCGAGGGCGCCTGTTTGAACTTATGTGCTGTATTCCACCAGATTCGCCGGCGACGATGCAGGAACCGCAGTGTGCGCCTGACTTCCTCTCGGGCCTGAGATCAGGAGGACGTGATGTCCAGGGAACCTCCTTCAACTTAACGGGAGCCGAAGTGAGGGGGGGCTGGCTCGGGGGGGGGGCATCGGACTGAAATCGGCGGTACACCGCCGATAGATCAGCAATCGGCCCCCGATGGTGAAACCGGATGACCCTGGGTAGGGCTGGGCGCACAAGATCCGATCGGCGATGAATGGGCGGCTGCGTGTCGATGCCCCCCCCTCGAGCCAGTCCCCCAGAGGAACAAAACAAAGACAGATGCACAGTCAAAACATCACAGACACTCGTAGGTGTCTGAGCGTAGGCGTCTGAGCGCGCGCGGGCCTCAACCTGAGCGCGACTGAGCGTGACCAACTCTGAGTGTGAGCGGTACGTTACAAGCGGGCTACTACCACAAGGAGCGGTAGGTAAGGAACGAATGGGGCTGTCATCGCCACGGCGAGCCTCGCCCACGGATTGGGTTCTCCGATCTAGATCTAGGGAATGGCCCGAAAACAAAGAGCCCCGCCTGAACCCAAAGCGGTCCTCCGGTCAGCGTCTTGGCTGTGTGCTGCTCCCGGCGCCCTGCAGATGCGTGCCACTCACTGCTGCGCTGCGCCGCTCTGCGCTGCCCTCCCCGGCGCTCTCCGGGTTGATCTCTGCAGCTCTCAACTTCTTCCTGCCACCCTCAAGAATCGCACCCTCCCAGTGTTCCACAACCTCCTCCTCCTCCTCCTCCTCCTCCTCCTCCTCCTCCTCCTCCTCCTCCTCCCCCCCATCCACATCCTCATCCTCCTTCTCCCTCGCTCGAATATCCCGCCCCCCCCGCTGGGAGGACACAAATGTGATGATGCCTGCTACTCCGCGGCGGCCACGGGGTAGCTGAGCGACGAAGAGGGAAGGGTCTTACGCGAGATGGCATAGCGACCTTACGTGGTGAGTCACGCGGTACACGAGAGCGGCACGCCACATTAGAAACGACGGCGCGTACGCGCGACCTTGCGCCAGCAGTTTACGCGCCAATGCCGGCGCAATCGTCCCCGTTTTTTTACGTCGCTCAATTTGGAAACGCCCGTCTACTGGGCCAGCACGGGCGCTCGGCCCAAAAAGTACCCGTATCGGGGCGAGAGCGGACTTGCAAGCCACCCCTGTTCGATTTTTTCCGCCGGCGGCGAGGCAGAGTTGGCTGCGCCAGCGATAAAGCTAGACGGGGGCACCGAAAAGCAAATTGGTCAGCATGCAAGCATGGGCAGAGGGCAGAGCGGGCAGCCGCGGGGGGCGGGAGGAAAGGCCACTCAGAGGCGGAAGAGTTCTCATGAGTGCGCTGGCACGGCCAGCTCCGCCAGCGGAAGCCATAGCAACAGCCGGGCCGCGGCGCCGGGGCACCCGCGGGCGCTGACGGGGCCCAGCCGAAGTAGCACACGGGGAGCTAGGTCGACGGGCATGGACCGCAGGCCGCCCAGGTGGGTGGCACGTGAGAAGGTAGGGCAGGTACATGACTGCAGCCAGCTAAATGCTGGGCCCGCGGAAGGGGACATGCGGCAAGACCAAGCCCAGGTGCCCGACCACGTGGGGAGGCTGCGAGCTGCGGCAGCCTCGCGAGCATGGCGGCGCGCGGGGGGAGAGAGGGAAAGAAAACGGCGGGGGGGGAGAAGGATGCCCCCCCGCCTGTAGGGTGATCCCCGCAGGCGGGGCGGCAGCGCCGGCGCCAGCGGCGGCGGCCGGAGGGCAGAAGGCCCGGACGGCGGGCCAGGGCTGCTGAGGCACGTCCAGGGCTGCCGGCAAGGGGCAGTGAGAGGACGTGCCTGTGCCAGAACTGCGGCCGAGGCCGCGGGGCCGTGCGCTGCCGGGTGGACAGTGCAGGCCAAGAGTAGGCGCACCTGATCGGTGCGAAAGAGGTGATAGAGCCGGCTGGGCGGGGCCACTCGCTGCTGTAAGGTGGACAGCGTGCGGCCACGCCAGCAGGCCTGCCAAAATTTCGACCGAGGCCGAGAAGCCGCGCGCTGCCAGGGTGGACAGTGCGGGACAAGTCACGGGGCACCTAATCGGTGCGGGAGCTGTTGAACTGAAGCGGCCGAAGCCGAGGGGGCCGCACGCTGCTGGGATGGACAGCGCGCGGCTGGGGCGCCAAAGGAGAGGAAACAGAGCCGAGAGGGGCCAGAGCGTGGGGAGATGCCACACGCCGCCAGGGTGGTTGGCACGTGGCGACTAGGTCCGCCGAGTGGCTCAGAGGGCGATGAGGAGGTGTTGCTGACGCTGTGGGCGCCCCCTCCTGTTCGACACACGCACACACACATTTGTTTCTGAGCGTCGCAGCCCACGCAAGGCCTCTGAGCGTCAATCAAACCATGACCCCTGCTGGACAGGCCGGGCGGAACGGCACAGTAAAGAACGAACGAACTCGCGCGATGGACATCTCAACGACGAAAAGCGCCCCTCCCCTCCTCCTCCTCCTCCTCCTCCTCCTCCTCCTCCTCCCTCCTCCTCCTCCTCCTCCTCCTCCTCCTCCTCCTCCTCCCCCTCCTCCTCCTCCTCCTCCTCCTCCTCATCCTCCTCGTATTGGTCTTACGCCCGCCTGCGCGGTAGCCGACGCGGGCCGCCAGCGGCACGCCACACTGGAAGCGAGGGCGCTCGCGTGCGGCCGTGCGCGGGCAGCTCGCGCGCCCGCGTCGGCGCAGACGACCCCCCGCCCCCCTGTCGGCGCTCCGCGGGCCCAGACCGGCCAGAACCACAGCCGCTGGCCGCTCATGCGGCTAGTGGAGAGGGCGCCCGCCTGCTCTCCGCCCCTGCTGTGCGTCATCCTCAGACATGCCGTCGCTCCGACGTGTAAGGGAAAAGATCAGAAGGTGATGTTTTCGTCGTGAGCGCTAGGCCTCGATTGGGCAGGACACGCGAGAGGGCACAGGACCCTCCCGAGGGCCACGCTGCCACGGGAGTGCAGGAGGCAGGGGTCGCGAGACGCAGGACACGAGGGTCCCCCTGATTTTTTAGGGGTCGACCTGCGAACCGGGGCCGACTGCAGGACGGCAAGGGGCCAGCGGGCCAAGGGCGAGGGGGCCGAGCAGAGCGGAGGGAGGAGCGCGGAGCGAGGAGCGACAGCGAGCAGCCGGCGGAGACCCGCGGGCGGACTTGGGGGAGACCGCGGGCCGACCGGCGGAGGGCAGAGCCGAGGGGACACGAGCGGAGGCACCACGCAGCACGGGGGCGCGGAAGGACACGGCGAGGGGAGGGAGCCGGCCGAGGAGGGAGGCGAGGGGGGGGAGGAACGAGGGTAAACGCACCAAAGGCAGGGTGAAGGAAGGAGGACACACACACACACACACACACACACACACACACACACGCACACACACACACGCACGCACACAAACACACGCACGCACGCACGCACGCACGCACGCACACGCACTCACGCACACACACACACACACACGCACACACACACGCACACACACACACACACACACGCACACACACACACACGCACGCGCGCGTGCGCACCTACACACATATACACACGCGCGCGTACCTAGACACATACACCTCCCCACACACCCACACACACACACACGCGCGCACACGAAACAAACATGCAAGATTTAGATGCAATCCCTACGACATCGCAGAGATCTGCTGCGATCATGTCTGGACGCCCAAGATGAGCACTACAGAAAGTGAGATATCGAACAACAGACGTTGTCAAAAACGACAGCGGCCGCGTTTGGGCAGACTGTTTTTCTGACTCAAATGGACAATTGTTGCAGCGAGGGCCGCGCGCAGGGAGGCGCGCTGACCTCGCCCTAACAGGGTTCTGGGCTCCAGGGAGGCCCTAGAGCCCAGAAGCCTCCTCCTCCTCCTCCTCATCATCATCATCATCATCATCCCCATCATCACCAGCACCATCAGCACCATCATCATCATAATCATCATCAGCATCATCATCATCATCATCAGCAGCATCATCATCATCACAATCACCATCACCATCACCATCACCATCATCATCAGCATCATCATCACTATCCTCATTATCCTCCTCATCATTATCAACAGCATCACAATCATCATACTCATCATCCTTATCCTCCTCCTCATCATCACCATCACAACCATCACCATCATCATCAGCATCCTCATCATCCTCCTTCTCATCCTCATCCTAATCCTCCTCGTCCTCCTCCTCATCATCAGAAGCAGCATAATCATCCTCATCCGCCTCCAGTCATTCTCCCCTATCCTCCTTCGCCTCCTCCTCCCTCTCCTGCTCCTGCTCCTCCTCCTCCTCCTCCTCCTCCTCTTCCTCCTCCCCCTCCTCCTCCTCCTCCTCTCTTCCTCCTCCTCCTCCTCCTCCTCTTCCCCCCCTCTTTTCGTCACGCGCTGCCGACGGGGCGCGGCAGGCGGAGCGCCGCTGCAGGCAGCATGGACCCCAGCGCCAAGACGGCCAGGAACACGGCGGGGACCGCGGCGACTGGCCGGGCAGCGCGGGGAGGCTTCGCGCGCAGGCGAGGGTGGCGCTCTCAGGCGGCGCCCGCCTTCAGTAGCAGGGCCGCCTTCCTGTCCAGGATGTCTCCGAGCAGCGCGGACGCGGCCTTTGCCTTCCACAGGGCCTCCTTCGTCTTGTGCGCGTCGGACACGAACTGCGCATCGGACGTCGCGACGCCGCGGTGCATCTTGCTCTCGGCCTCGTCGAGCACCTCGAGGGCCACCTCGAGCACACGCGTCTGGTGGGCCACGGTCGTGGTGTCCACCTTCCGGCTCTTGGCCAGCAGCTTCTGGTTGGCCACGGTGACATCGCCCTGAGCGCCGACCAGGGCCGTCTCCTCGTCCTTCTCCTGCTCAAGCTCGTCGAGCTGCTCCTGAAGCTCCTCGGCCTTCTCCTCTCGTGCGCGCGCAAAGGTGACGACCCTGGGCGAGGGCGACCGTTGGTGCGCGGCAGGCCGATCGCTCGGCGGCCCACGTGTCTGGGCGTGGCCTGGTAAGGCTCTGGGTTGCGCACGGACAGCTCCCCCCCACTCCAGGTAATCCCGGTTGGCCTCAGCAGGCCCTCCGAGTAATCCCCGCTGGCCTCAACAAGCCCCCAAAATAGCCCCGGGGAGCTCTCACCGCCCAAGGCGCCGCCGGAGGCGGCGACAGGGTGTCGAGGCCGCCCCGGGCAATTCGGGGCGCATGGTGAGGGCGAGGCCAGCTCGGACTCGGGGGGGGCAATGGAGTCCAGCGGGGGCTACAACATGGGGGGGCTCTGTGCGCAGCCCGCCTCACCAGCTTGGCTCCCCCCGGCGCCCCACGGACGCCGCGCACCGGAGTCCACTCTGGGCGAAGGGCAGGATCAGTCCGCAGCGAATCAGCAAATCGGAGGGTCGAGTCGAAGTGTGCATCGCATCGGGCTGCATCGACTCGCAGTCGAAATCGAATCGGATCGGCTGCGCCAAGATACACAACAGCGCCATGTAATCATCGAGCCGCATCGAATCTCCAGGAATATCGGAATCGAGTCGGATCGGTCTGGCCAGAGCCGGTATCGAATCGGGTCGCTCTGATCGAAATGGGCCCTGAAGGGTCACCCTTGCGTGCAGCCGATCCTTGGCGGCCTCCATGATCCCGTTCCTGGGAGGACGCAAACATAGAGGCCTCCTGGATGGGGTCCGAATAGATGGGGTCGGAGGATCTCGCCGCATCGCCGATGCATCGGCAATGAACCGCCGATGCATCGGCAATGCATCGGCCATGCACTGGCGACGTCGGCGATGCATCGGCGACCTTGGCGTGTAGAAGATTGGGGCCCGCATCGAGCCGCATCGCCGATGCATCGCCGATGCATCGGCGATGCAGCACGATCCTCCGACCCCGTCTACTCCGACCCCATCTAGGAGGCCTAGAAAACAGCACCCAAGGGCGCGCCGCCGTGGGGGGGGGGGCCCACCCGCGTGCTGCCCTTGACAGGAGCACCGGGCCGCCGGAGAAGCACGCCGAACATGATGGCACGCCGTCGGCCCCTCAGCGGCGGCCGGGCGTTGCTGCCCCCCTTCCTTCCTCCCCCCCCCCCCCTCCCGAGCTCCTGGCGTTCTCGGCCATCCAGGCGGGCACCTCGTCGCCCGCGGCCTTCAGCTCGGCGCTCTTGCACGCCGCCCAGCGGTTGGCCCACTTGCGGTCCTCCGCCTCCAGCTCGGCCATCCACTGCGGCACCTCCTGGCCCTCGGACCTCAGGCGCTTGCCCTCGGCCGCGGCCCACTTCATCTTCCCCCGCTTCTCGTCGTCGGCGACGAGCTTGTCCATCCACTCGGGGACCGTCTCGTTCTCCTCGGGCCGAGGGCAGACGGGGGGCCCCGAGAGGGCTCCCCGGGACCAAGTGCTTCCTCTGGGGCACTCCTTGGCCGGGCGGCAGGCCCCGGGCAGGGCCGCGGGGGCCCCACAGCGCTGCAAACAGCTTCGGGACCCCCTGCCCCCCCGTGCCCCTCTGCTGCACGGCATCAGCACCCTCAGCTCCCCGAAGCTCCACAGCGCCGCCGGCCCGCGTACCCAAATCGAGGTGAGGATGGATGCCGTGACACCCGACGGAGGCGGCATCGATCCCCTTAGACCAGCGGGGTCCGTAGTTCGGACAGCGGGGCCAAGACTTCCCAGTGGAGGATGGGGATGGATCTAATGATTCAAGATTCGTCAACATCGAATCGGGACATCGAATCGAATCGAATCGAAACGTGCATCGGATCGGGCTGCATCGGCACGGAATCGAAACCGCATTGCATCGGTCGCACTCTAGGATGTACAACGAAGCTGTGCAAACATCTGGCCGTATCAAATCGTCCGAAGACTTGACCGCGGGCATACGACCGAAAACGAATCGGATAGGGCTGGCCGTGACCGACACCGAAGCGGAACGACTGGATCGAAGAGGGCCCTGCCAGGGGGAGCAGGTCGGACCGCGCGGGGCCACGGTCCCCCTGGCGGGGACGGGGAGGGGTCTGACAACGCAGGATCTGTCTCCTCCTGCAGTCGCTTCGCCTGCTTCTTGGCCCACTCGAGCGTGGCGTGCTGCTCCATGCGCTCCTTCCTTTGGGAATGCCGAAAGGTACCCATACCGCTACTCCCCAGACCTCTCCAAGGCTGCGTTCTGATCAAATCCATCTTCGAGGCGAATCCAGCCGTCTCGACGAGGGCCTCCCAGGAAGCCGGAACAAGATCAAACACGAGGTAAGGGCAGCGGTATCGGCACCTTTCCCTCATCTGATCCTCTGCTTCCAGGTCAGGTCGGCCTCCGCCTTGCACCACGCGGGGGCGTCGGCTGGCAATGGCCCGAAGGCGCCCTCCGCGAAAGTGCCGAAAGAGCCGTCGTAGACGACCACGGCGCCAGCCCCTGACACCGAGGCGGCTAACACGAAGAGGGAGGACAGGGCGGGCGCCATCGGTGTTGGCTGAAAAGTAGGGTCGGGAACAGGTTTGCCGCGGTCTGACGCTTCGGCTCGGACGGCGTGAGCCAGAGCGGCCACGGAGAGGACGAGGCGACGAGGAGACGAGGCGAGCAGTGAGGAGGAGGAGGAGGAGGAGGAGGAGGAGGAGGCGGAGGAGGAAGACCATACGCGCCCAGCGCGCCGGATCCCTGCTGCGCTGGTAAAAAGGGTTGTTTGTCATGCCCCCCTTAACGTCCGTTACGGGGGGGGATGGTTAGCATGCCTGTCAGAACCACAGCACGCCTGTGAACACCGCGCCAGTACGTTCGGTATCGTTGCGGGCACCTCCTCCTCCTCCTCCTCCTCCTCCTCCTCCTCCTCCTCCTCCTCCTCCTCCTCCTACGGAAATGAAGAGGGGGAGGGGGGGGCGAACCCCGTACGTGTACGCCGAATCAAGGAAGACATCTCGAACCCCGGCTGGCCCGTGGCAAAAGCAGACTCCCCCGCAAGGTGACATGGGCACGCGTCCTAGGAACTCTGCATGGCGAGCGCCGCGGCGGGAGGGTCATGGCCCGGAGCCCTGGACAGCGATAGCCCTCTCGGAGTGGCACCGCGAGTCTTCCGACAAGCGTTGCGGAATCACTTCGCATGACCCCCCCTCCGCCCCCCGGCCTTACCGTTGAACAAACCTTGCCGGATAAGCGGACCGGTAAAATCTTGAGCCCAGCATGCCGAACCCAATACGCAATACCTGCCGCCGTTACAGCCATGAGGTGGAAGCAGAAAGTCGGTTCGTTCGCACTTTGGGCGTTGCTGTTGCAAAAAGATGTGTCCGTCAACCGCATGGCTGGCCTCACACGCGGAGCACCTGGAGGCCACTGCCTGGCCGAGCATGCGGCAGCCCTGCAGGCGCGGCCATAGAAGGGCCGAGCGCTGCAAGGCCGCCTGGCTGCGCGTGCACCCAGCTCTCGCCCAGGCCGCCCGCGCCGTGCGTCTCATTGGGCGCCCGAATTATCCGGGGTAACTCGGGCCCGGGGCAACTCGGGTTTGGATCCCCGAAAAACGAACCCGACTTAGCCCTGACCCGAGTTACCCCTGATGATTTGGGGCTCTGGACGCCCGAGTTATCCGGGATACTTAGCTCGGGCCCGGGGCAACTCGGGTTCGGATTCCCGAAAAACGAACCCGAGTTAGCCCTGACCCGAGTTACCCCTGATGATTCGGGTCTCTGATATCCAGCTTCCTAGTAGGATGGGACCGCGGAGGTAACGCAGTGAGTTTGCGGGCAAGACTTGTACTACGCATCCAAATCCACTGCATCCTGGAGCTTCGGGCTCCCTCCCTGAGAAACCAGAGGCGCAGTGAATATTGGTAAAAATCTGGCCCCCCGAGGCTGGATGTTCATCCATTCCCACCGCGCCCCGGCCTTTTAGTACCCGTCCCCAGAAAGTCCACGACGCAAAGGATATGGATATAAATCTTGCCCGCAGAGCTTGAGCAGAGGGAGCGGCACTCCACCCACGTTGGCAGCGTTGAGCTCTGAGGTGCAGGCTCAAGGCACCGGAACCCGAGCGCGACTCTATAAATGAGCTGGCCTCTGCATGCAGCAGTCGTAGGTTAAACTCCCGGTGGATCACAGAGGCTCCTAAAGGCAGCAGCTGCGAACACGCCTCAAGCGAGAGCACGGCTTCAATCAAGGCACGCCCACCACGCGTGCACGTAGCACTCTAGTAAAACTGATGTGGACACTTCTGAGGTCGAGAATCATAGAACACGGACGTGCCGCACGCGATACTCCAAAATCTTCCGTCCGAGCAGAAACTGGGGCTTTGTGAGGGGACAAAAATGCGAAAAGCGCCCCGTCGTGATTTTCAAGGACACGAAGTGATCTGGTTTTAGGGTCGTACCTCGGGTATCCCGCGGCCGTTCGGGACGATCCGGGCACCCCCAGAATAGAGAACAAAATTCAACATAAACATAAACTTTCGACGGTTCGCGCGGACCTCTTGCTGGCGCGCGGAGCGCGCCAGGGGCGGCGCAGGAGGCGCCGTCAGGGGGGCCCAACGCAGATCCAAAAAATCCGCCGGACCGTCGAATATGTATGTTTCCGCAGTGGATTGTTCCTCGGCTGGAGAACACCGCAGGGAACACCCAGACCTCCAAGGTGCTGATTCTCCACGACGACCCCAGCAAATTTGACGTCCTCGCGTTTTCCATGCCTGTGTAATTTCAACAATCCCGAGGGCAATATTTGTAATTCCGCAAAGTCTACGTCCAGGGCCGGCTTTTCCTCCTGGGTACCCTTGAGAATCGAGAGGCCCAATGAGGGCCTCCAGGAAACCGAAGACCGACAAAAACCTGCCCGCACTGACCTTTCCCGAGAAGACGAGGTGGGAAGAACGACCACGTCCGGAAGCTTCGAACTTGGGCGCGAATTAATGAGGGGCGATACATTGGGGAAACAACAGGTACCGATACAGCTACTCCCTGGACCTCTCCCGGGGTGCGTTCTGACCAGGATTTCGAGGCGAATCCGACGGTGGCGACGAGGGCCTCCCAGGAGGCCCAAACAGGGGAAAACGAGGGAGGGGTAGCGGTATGGCTACATTTTTTCCTCCTCTGAGAAATGGGGGGGGGGGAGAAAGGTGCCCTCATCGGGCTCGCATGCTTCCATCTGTGAAGGGGCCCCAGGACACACAAATAAATACACACAAATAAAAAACTATGCCCCATAGTTTCTCATATTTTCTGGATTTTTGTCTTCCCCCCACTTCCCATATTCTCCCATGTTTTCTGGGGGATCGCAGATCATTTGTGTCTGTGTGTTCTTTTTCCGTCCTAAATCTGGCGCAGAGCCCCTCGCCGCGCAAGTCTGGACGCCCGAGATGGGTACGGAAAGAATGGGCACAATGCTGAACAACAAATGTTGTCCCAAACCAACAGCGGCCGCTGTCGGGCAGGCGGCCTTCTGTCTCAAATGGACACAGGCCGCGGTGACACCGACAGCGAGTCCTGTTCATATTGAACAGGAACTGCTGTTGGGCATTGTACCCATTCTTTCCGTACCCATTTCGGGCGTCCAAAGCAAGGGAGCCGACCTCCCGCCCCGCGCGCAGCCGGCGCCGCCGCCACGGGGTAGAGGGCCGGCGGCCTTCTCCTTGGCCCGCAGGGCCCGGGCCTCGGCCAGCTCGGACTCCGCCTTGGCGATGGCCGCCTCGAGCTCCTCGTCGCGCGCGCGCGCGCGCCCCACAGTCAACCATCCCCCATCCCTCCCTCTCGCTCTCTCTTTTTCCCTTCCTCCTCCTCCTCCTCCTCCTCCTCCTCCTCCTCCTCATCATCATCATCATCATCATCCGAACTCCTCTTCCTCGCCGCTCCGTGGCCCTCGACCCTCGCGCGCGCGCGCGCCCCACAGTCAACCTGGATAGCAAGGGTGCGCGACAAGGATGCAAGAGGGCCTTGGGCGCCCATTTCGAAGCTCTGCGAGCGGGGCGCGGCCAGCGGAAGCGGCGAAGGATGGACCGAGGAGGCAAGGATGCAAGGGTGCCCTTGGGAAGGTTGCCCATCCTTTTACTATGCTGTATCTCTCGGCCTGCTCCTCGTTCCTCCTCTTCCTGCACGGTCTCGCCCAGCCGTCCTGGCACCCCATGCGTGCTTCTTTTTGGCCGTTCGGCACGCTGCCCGCTCCAGCTGTGGCGCAAACACTCTCCCTATCCTCTCTGTGCATGTCTCTCACTCCTTCTCTCTCTCTCTCTATTTCTTTCTTTATTTTTCTCTCTCTCTCTCTCTCGTTCTTTCTCTCTCTCTCTCTCTCTACTTCTGCGTGTGCACAAAGATAACAGATCGCTCCCTGCCACCATCCGTCCATCCCCCATCCCTCCCTCTCTCGCTCTCTTTTTCCCTTTCTCCTCCTCCTCCTCATCCTCCTCATCCTCCTCCTCCTCCTCATCCGAACTCCTCTTCCTCGCCGCTCCGTGGCTCCGTGGCCCAGTGATAGTGCCTCGCGCAGAATGTGCCTCCCTCCCTCCCTCAGTGCATGCTCTCTCTCTCTCTCTCTCTCTCCTTCTGTTTTTTTTGTTCTCTCTCGCACCCCAGGGCGCGGCCACAGCGGGTCGGGGCCCGCCGCGGACGCGCGCGCGTTCTTTTTTTTGCTGTTCTCTCTCTCTCTCTCTCTCCCTCTGACATGCGGCGGGGGGGGGGCCTCCTCAGAGCAGCCCCGGGGGGGCCTCCGAGCACGCTCCCTCGGGAGGCCCGGAGAGCTCTTCTGAGCGCCTCCCCGCCCTCCCGGCAGCCCCCCCGCGCCTCCTTCCACGGCCGACCGCCTCTTTGTGCCGCCCTCCCTTCGTGTGCGCGCCGCCGGAGGCCGGCCGTCGGGCACACACGCCTCGGGCCCGGAGGAGGAGGAGGAGGAGGAGGAGGAGGCGGAGGAGGAGGAGGAGGCGGAGGAGGAGGAGGAGGAGGAGGAGGAGGAGCGGGCCCGCGCCTGCCGTGCGGGGAGAGGCCCCGCACGGCAGCCTCTCTTGACTGGCCATCGCTCGGACGTCCATTCCCTGTGCTTTGTTCGGCTTCGTGCGCGGTTTTTTTTTTTCCTCCAGAGGATCAGGGGTGCTCCTCGATGGTCCTCGCCGAGGGAAAAGTGCACACGTCCGAGCGATGCCAGGCTGACCGCTCTCGGCGCCGCGCGGCTGCGAGGCGGGGTCCTGGAGCGAAGAGGGACGCCGAGGGCCGACGGAGTGGTCAGGAACATTACCAGCCTCGAACGTATCCCTATCCCTAAGATTGACACGCCAAAAGGCGATGACAATCTTAGGGATTCGCCCTCAAAAAATAAGGGAATCCCTAAGATTGGCATCGTGACGAGGAGATGCCCAACATAGGGATAGGGATATGTTCCAGGCTGTTAAGAACACACAGAAGCAAACGTCGTGCGCCGCCAAGGCGGGTGCTGGTGCGTACATTGCGGTGGCCCCGTCCGGAGCTTTCTGTCTCGCGCCTCTGGGGCGACCCCAAAAAAATCACAATGACCACATGAGGACTAATTACGCGGAACAAACCATGAGTACGCAAACACCACACGAAGAACCACAAGGA